GATGTCATTCAGTTTCAGGAAATCCACATTCAGTTTGATTTCCTGTCTCTGATTTAAGTTTTGTGCATTAGAGCTTGCATGAAAGAAAAGGCCATGCCACCAATGTAAGTACAGCAACTGTTACCAATGCAAAGTGTCTGCTAGCCACTTCAGATGAGTGGGACATCACAGTGATGAGTCAGTTCAGAGGATTACCACAGCCCCAGGCTTTCCAGGTAATCAAGGCCCACCCTTGCTTTATTGCCTCACCTCTGCCGCTGAAAATGCCAGAATCACTCTTACACCTGCAATCAGTGGCTACAGAAAGTCTAATCAAAGTGCGATAGGCCCTGCAAAGGAAGCTCAGTAAACAATATTTTACATATTAAGAAGTCATATATTTTCTGTAACGTTATTGTGTTTCCCTTTGTAATGAGAAAGGAAACATTTTAATTTCTAGCTCCCAATATTTTAATATTTTGCTATATTAGTAGTATATATCAGCAATGGAAAAAAAAAAAAAACTTGGAATTTTCCATTCCACTGCTTGATTTTATTTGATTCTTGAAGCAAATGTGTCCATAGACCTTGTCCATGTATTTTATAACACTGAGTTTTATGTCTCTGAAATGCCCTAGGGTTGATGGGAAGATTCCTCCCTAATCAAGCTGGGCCACAATGTACAAAATGAGTCTTATGGCCCATGTCAAAATGGCAACAGTGTTTCTTAATAAAGATTTATTTGCTTTGTGAAGCAAGCCAACTCCAGATGATATTTTTTAAAGAAGCTTTTATTAAAATATTAATACTGTGATTGATTTAATGCCAGTAGCAGCTACCATTCCATATAAAAGGCTTCCAATTTTTTTTCTCACCTGTCACGCTTTTTCCAGGCCATGGGAATCTACAAGTTTTTCAGAACAGCTCAGTTTCAACAAAATTCTGATTTGATTTTTCACTGAAAATCTTATAAGCGGATTTATTTTAAATGTCTTTGTTGTTGTTGTTGTTGTTGTTGTTGTTGTTGTTGTTTTTGCTTATCATGACAGAATTAGCGTTAGTAAACATTAAGATACAAAGTTACTGAACTGGCACTTTTTCCACTGACTGCATTGAGCTTTTGAACCATATCTTAAAGGTTTATGTTTTTTTTCAGTTTGAAGAATAGCAGGGATGGCAATTTCTCCAGAAATGCTCATTATGTTCTGAACAGCTATCATCAGCAGTATTCCACAGGAAACAATCATCCTCCCTAACTGTTCAACACAGTATACAGAAATAGTGTGCTTTTTGCCTAAAAAAACCCATATTTTTTGTAATGTGGGTTCCATGGGTTCCATGTATTCCACATACTTAACGTCTCAACAAAGTCATTCCTTTAAATAGGATTTTATTATTTAAATATATTTAACTACACTTTATCATATGTAAGCTATTAAGAGTAATTTTCTATCCAACCCATTTATTGAAATGAAATGTTGTTTAAAAAAAAAAAAGAGTGCTTAGTTACCACTTGCCACTACTATGTGGTTTGAACCATGCAACTATTCATGATAAACAGTTTGCAGAAGGAAAATGGAAAACATAATGGAAACATGTGACAGCAGCTGCTAGTCTGTTTATCATGGCTTTTTCTGCAACTCTGTTTCTAGCTTTCTATGCATTTATGCATTTGCTGTTGTTCTATATCTCCAAGTGCTCGCTGTCATCTTGAAATTCATTATTTTATCTTCTTATGATTGCAAGAAAAATCAACCTCTCTTTACAAATAAAGATGGAATGGAATACAGCAATCAAAGGAAAACAACACTTGGAAAGCAGTACTTGCCACCTGCTTTGGCCACTGAAGCCTGTGTTTCTATGAACACAGGTATAGGGTACATAAACTGTCTGTTGATCATGCCAACTGACCACCACAGGCAACTTGCAAAAGCCAAAGTCATTTGTGAAGGGCATGTCACTAGCTTGTAATTATGCACGCTATCTGCAGTCCAGCTCCGGGGGCACGGGAGAGAGAGAAAGGAAGATTTCTACAAGTAAATACAAAAGGATACTTTATCCTCAATGTTATTGCACAACATTTTACAAACATGCATTATCTAACTTCACAGCACCTTTGCTCATGAGGTAGGTTTTATTTTCCTCATGTTGTAGGTAGATATGCTACCATAAGTCTGAGTGGCATGCACAAAAATACAGTCCCACTGGCTTTGGAGTGGAATCCTGATGCTGCAGAAGTCAGTGGGAGTTTTTTTGTTAACTTCAAAAGGCAAGAAGAGAGGGACAATTTCACTTCAACATTGCAAGTTCATTATACACTATTTCCTTTCCTGGAAGTATCTGTATTAAAATAACATGTCAAGATATATTTATTGTAATTAAGTCAACCCATACTTGTTCTGTAACACAAACAACACTCCACATTACACTGAACATGAAAAAGCCCTTTCCCCCTATTTATCTACTATGCGTACTATGTCTAAACCTGGGAAACGAAGCAGACTATCGAATTTCAAGTCTGCATACATTCATGCAAATGTTTTAGGATAAACATATGCTTTGACTTGTGTGACATGCGTTTCCAGACGTACTGCAATGCTGCAGTGCTGTGTGATGTGCTATCGAGCAGCAGTGGGGAATCTGCCGACGAGGCCTGAGGTCCCGCCTGGATGGTCGGCCAGAGCCCGAGGCGGAGCTGTGGGGAGTCTGTACCTTCCCTTCTGCAGGGGTCACTCAGAGAGATACGGTGGCAGTGCTGACTGGAAACTTTCTGCTACGCCAGCTGTTTCTGGGGGGCGGTTTGGAGGAGGAAACGGTAATGTGTGCACCAAGAGCAAAGGTTAAATTTGGTTCTTCCCCTAGCAAAATTAGTGGTTCCAAATCCCTTGGACTTGGATTTTAATGGACGAGGTAGCATTTCAACCCCGATCTCTAATGAACACTGAAACATGCACCGTCAAATCTAGACGTCTGACAGTTCTAGTTATATATATGGAATGTAAATATAATGTTTTCAATAATTTCTATTACAATTAAAAGTAAGTTCAACGTTTCAGGTGAGCTGATTAAAGACTATTGCAAAATCAGTTTTGTTTTTCTGTGGTAAATTTGGCCTTGACAAGTCTTAGCACAGTTTGAAATCTTCTCTTCTGAAATACGTTTTATCAAACCTGGAAAAAAAAAGCACCATGACAATGCTTGTGAATTATCAGTCAAAAAGCAAGATTCAAGACAATGTTCAGCTTTCCAGATACACAGCTGATAATTTTAAAAGAATGCTGTCAAAATATACAAGCTCTAAAACTGAACATTTCAGAAGACAAAAAAGGTTTAAAATACTTAAAAAAAAATCATCTGAAGGAGATGCAGACTGCACTATCCTGAAACAAGAGTTACTGACGCTGCAAACAAAAATGTCCTTCTTGGGATTTGCATTTGCAGGATATAGTGCTCCACTGTGTCATTTTGTGGGAAGAACTTCTGAGGGGGGTAAGCAGGGTCAGGCACACCCTGCTCATTAGCCTTGACAAGCGGAGAAGCAAGCAAGAAAAAGCTTTCTATCAGTAAAATTACTGAAATCTTACAAAAAATGAAATTCCTGACTAAAATGAATTTTCTCCACCATCTTAAGACAGCCCTTCAGCATAAAAACTATCACGTCTGTTATTCCATTAACTACGTCTAGAAATGACTCCAGTTCTGGAACAGCGATTATCCTGCAATTAGCACAGAACTAGAGCTAAAATACTGCACCTGAAATAGGACGAGGACTGGAACTAATTATTTATGGTACCAAAATAACACTGCAGCAAGCAGAGGCTGTGTAGAAGGAAGAAATAGTGAAGACAGAAAAAGAGCCAAGATAGAATCATATGGGAGCAAATAGAGAGAAACTCATCAAAAGGCAGCTCACTTTCTCTTCAGCAACCAAGGAAAGATACCAAAACACACAAAACAGAACCCAAGCCCTGAACCATCTAATTTAGGTGCCTAAAATAGGAAGATGATTTCCTACATTTTCTCTATAGTTACTGGAGAAAGTAGGAGAGGGTTCTACAATAATAATTCAGGAGTGAGCCTGGTTGCAGGCCAGGCTCCTACGCAGGGAGGTAACATTAGGTCGCAGGAGTATTCATGAGTGAACGACTCCTTATTCCACGCCCCGAGCGGGAACAAGGCACCTCTTCTCCTGTGCACCCAGGGCTGAGGCAACGGGCCTTCTCCTCCCTGCGGCCGGCCGGGGGAAGGCGGGAGCCAGCACCTCTGCTGCTATTGTATTTGATGGCAGATCTCCAGTTGTTCGCTATGAAAGCAGAACTGAACTCCGAGAGATGGAAAAGACATTTTCATCATCTAGAAACAATGAGGAAACTGTGGGGGAACCTGTTTGCGCCTGGCAGGAAAGGCTCGGGAGGCCGTGCTCGCCTGGCAGGGGGCAGCCCGGGAGAGGAGGCTGCTGGCCTCCAGCCTGGCCCCAGACCCAAGTGTGCCGCAGACCCGCATCTCTGTCCCAGACCCGCA